ATCATATTTCACCAACCTGAAACTTGCGGTGCTTGGGGGGCTATTCCCCACCTAAACCACCATTTGGGGTGAATTCGGTCGTGTGAGGTCGTTATAATTCACCCAGAAGTTGTGAACCACATGTCAAAAAAAGATGGCGGCCATGCGCAGGCCGAGTCTCCGGGATGGCTGGGTCGGAGGTGCAGCGTCGACTGGGCGCGGCAGCCACATGGTTTTCTGATGCGTGAGACACAAGCAACAACTGGTTATGGGTCAAAATTACACCACCAGGGGACCGCAGGTTTTAGTCCATGTTTCCATTTACCAGGGTCCATTTTGGGTACCTATTTTTGACCCACAGCCAACTGGTATTCCAGAAGCCTACGACCCAAACATAAAGAAACCAAACGGCGGCTGGACCTATTCGTGGTTGGGACTGTTCCGTACTATTCAAGTGATGACCTGGTTTTTACTGCCTCAATTTGACTTATCTTCCAGATGTCTTTTGGTAATTACACAAATCTGTCGCATGTCATTCCAGCTGCAACAAGCAGCAATATCGAAAGTGAGAATACATGAGTACTCCTGGACAAGTGCAAAATTGTAAACAGACTCTTTCATCCTCACCTGTGCGCCTTATGAGACAGCTGGGTGCTCTCTGTACGCAGCTCCGCGCGCAAAGCCGGTATCACGGCCTCACCAAATCATGAGGAATACTCCCCTCCAAATCAAAATGGCCATGGGTCAAATCCCGTACCCCCAGTGAACATCCCAATCCCTACTAAAATAGACCAAACTGGTTGGTGCACCTACCCCAAAATGGGATCCCATAGGTTTTGACCCAGCGCCAAATCAGAATGGAACCAACAAAAAGGGATGTCCTGTTCGCCAGAAGAGCCCTCTTCACAGGCATCCAATTTGTGGGGTTCCCTCCTTCCCTCTTGCGACCCATGCGGCTCCCGGCAAGATGCTGAGATCCACCCTGGCAGTCGGACGGGGCAGCCTTTAAAGCGTGCGCGCTGTGCCGCTCATCTGCACATCTGGAGCCACTGAAATCAGGAGACGACACGACACACCACAACACAACACAATACGCGACAACACGACACAACACAAGACAACACAACGTGATACAACGCGACACGACACAATGCAAGCAAGCCACCGCGCGCTTGCATTCTTGCCTACACACGCACGCACATACATTCACCAACGCAAAGTGGCAATTCGGCAGTGTTGAGAGCTACCATGTTTGCTATTCACGTGCCCTCTGCACCCCAGCCTATCATCACGCTGAGCCTGAACAGCGTGAAGGTGTGCCTGAGGGAGCAGTGTAAAGGTCAAAGGTACACGCATACAAGCCCACACCCGCGCCAACTTCAGGCTTCATTGATTAAAGGATACAACCAAAAACACCCACTTTACAAGGGTTCGGATCCTCTAAATCAGTTGGCATTTCTTCGTCGTGTTAAATCAAATCACTGCATCTGAAACATTGTCTTGATCCATCTTCTCAACCAAATATCCAAACACACACACACACACACACACACACACACACACACACACACACACACACACCCACACCCACACCCACCCACACACACACACACACACACACACACACACACACACACACACACACACACATGCACACCAGAAAAATGGTATCCTTTCGGCCCATTTTCGTGGGCCTCCCTGGTGCAGCCCACCCCCGCCTCCGAGAACTTCCGCCAGGCCGACATGCTGGCCTGCATCCTGAAGGAGTTCTGCCTGTTGAAGCCGCCGAGTCGAGACACCGCGAAAGCGGGCGGGGGGGGGGGAGAGAGGGGGCGGTGGGGGGAGGGACGGGGGGGAGGGGAGGGGGGGGAGGGGAGGGGGGAGGGGAGGGGTGGGAGGGGAGGGGTGGGAGCGGAGGGGGGAGGGGAGGGGTGGGAGGGGGGAGGGGAGGGGTGGGGGAGCCCATGGAAACCATGACATCATATCTAAGCCACCAAACTGTTTAAACAACCTTGCTGCTGGTGGGGATTGTGTAGTGTCAACCGTCGCTATCTTCCGAGTGCCAACCTCCTTCAGATGCTCAACAGCATGGAGTCGTGAACAAGTGTAGTAGGGTGATTTGAGTGTGATGCATGCACCAAGGAAATGAGCATGGTCGTTAATAAGTTCATTCGAGGCCATGGTTTAAAGTAGCACTTTCCAAAGGGCATTTTCGGTAACGGGCAGGATTGGGATACGTCACGGCTGCAACTGATTTTAGCGCCGATGCGACCCGGCGACGCGGTGCCTACACAGCTCCCGCCCGCAGACTCGCATTGAGTCAGCTCAACCAAAGGTCCGAAGTTGAAGAGAGTGGCATTGACGACATAGGCAGCAATGATTGTTCAGCCCACCCAGCCACACATGCAACACGCAAGAAGCCGTGATTTCGAGAGTGTACATAAAGGAGCCAGCCTTTTGAAACATGTTTACGCGCCTTAACCAACCTCCTTTAGGTTTCCTTAGGGCAGGGCCTGGGTGCGGACATTTTTGCACCAACCCTATGGCTCTGCTCCGAGCGAGACATGGACCTCTTGCGGGCGGGTGCATCCGGATCAGAGTTCAAGGATTCCCAGGAGCGAGGCCTTTGCCACTGGGTCCATTTAACGAAAACACCCACCTTGATTTACTTGTTTCGACCCTCTATGCTGGTTGAATGGGACACCCAGCCCCAAAGAAGTATCTTGAAAAAGACCCCCTCGAAGTATTCACTTTAAGGGACCCAGCTTCACTCCTCCAAATTCACAAATTGTCCGCGCTGAGTGCGGACAATACCCATCGTGCATTGTGTGCAGCTGCTGCAAAACTGAGCCTCGATCGTCTGATCGCTGGACCGGCTTGGAGCAAACGGACGGACTTGTGTGGCTAACAAAACCACCTCCTTGTGCCACAAAACGAAAACCTGCAGCTGGCCAAACCAGCCAAAGGGGGTTCCAGTGAGCTTGGTGTTATTATCCTTGGCAGGCCTGCTGGAATCATTGGACCATCCGGACTGCCGACAGGCGACAGCGCCAGCAAAAGGCGACGGGCTCAGGCAAAACTCAAGCTGCAAATCCCTAAGCTACTGAAGCCAGGCAGGGCACCGTGGCATTCATTTCGGAGCCAGGGGCCCTACGGGCGCAACAATTCAACATGGGCCCTCACTGGACCGTCCGAAAAAAATCGCAGCCTCGAGGTCTCCCTCGGGCTCAGGATCGCATGAGTGCGTGTCCCTCACACGTGGCTGTGGCTTTTTGCGGATCAAGGCCACTGGCCATCGCTGCACCCGTTGATGTCAAAAAAGGAGCTGCTGATTTCAGTCATGTCCATGGCCTAGGCATGGTCATTCAATGTCTCAACATAGGAGCTGCCCCTGCAAGCCCCAAACTGAGAGCATCCGAGTGCGAGCGGACTTGATCGCAAGGCTGAAATCGTCATCACTCCAGAACGCGGCAAGGGCCTGCGGGTCGAATCAGCACACTGTCGTCCATCCGTGGAAGCTGGCCACGTTTGCGTTTGACAAAGCCTCTGCCAAAGTCCCCCCAAATCGGCCCTTGTTGCGGCCAGGTGTTTTGCGGGTGCCAAAGAATCATCAGCTTTTTCACGGTCAACCCCTGGACCCTCCCAAAGGGTTGGCTTGTTGGTATCCTAAACCGAATCCCAAACAGGGTCCCTGCTTTTGGCACGTACCAAAATGTTGAGCTCCTGACTCTTGGCTATGCTCGGGGTACTGGCCCTCAGCGATGAGTCCATTGAGGGACCACGCAAAGCCTCACTTGTGGTGAACCTAACGATGCCTTTGCCAAAATTGAATGTCACCGCTGAAACCTATCACATCCTGGCACATCTTCACTTCCCACAACACATTGTGTATATATATATATATGTATATATATGTATATATATCGTATACATGTTATGTATATATATATATATATGTATATACATATACACATCAGTCGGATCAAACCAACCCTGCCCAGCTTCGAGCTCCATGTGTCTCTGCCTTTCCCTGGAAGACATGATCAGCCCCACATCATGCATTGCTCCCATTCTTGTCACAACTGGCTGTGGCTCAAAAAAGTGGGACCAAAATGGCACCCTGGTAAATGGAACCAAAGACTAAAACCCGCGTAACCCCAGCTCTTGAATTTTGAGCCATACCCAAGTATGTTTCGGTGGAGAATTCTTAGCACGCAGTGCTTCAGACTGGCTTGCTTCGGGCTGGCTTTGAGCTTTCTCGCGATCAGTGGCAGCACCAGGTGCCGCTGCTTGAGCAATATGACACTCCTATCGCCTGATCAACCAAATATTGCAGAAAGTGGACGATGCCATTAATCCCTGAGAACCCATTTGGACCCAAACAAAATAAGAAGCCGACATTGGGGAACCCAACGAGTCTCGCAAGTTATGCTGATAACGGTCGACGTGCTGTACGCTTGAACTGCAACCTGAGCGTTCCCGCCACTTAAGATTTTAATGGGTTCCCCTTGATCTAGTGGACAGGGCCAAGAGAAAGGCAATCCCCCGAAATACCATTACTATGGGGCCAAAGTTGCTCAGGTCAGGAGTCATGACCCAGAGGTTGCAGTGCGGTATCTGCCTTTGTTTGATGAATCACTTGCATTTGTTGGGTTGAAAACCAACCAAGGAAACAGTTATCTCCCAAAAAGTCACATCCATTTGATGCAGAGCCAAATTGGCGAAAAGACTTCAGGAGCTCTGCTTAACATGGAATCCCGAAAGCTCTCCCTCCTAACATGGTAGCTGATTGGTACTCTTTATAGGTGAGCATCGCCCAAAGCCAACGTTGGTCCTACGAACATGTGTAAGGATTATATACTCAGATGCCCAGTGGCCATGCAAAAAAAGCCCGTATTTTTTGGTTGGTTGAGTTTCAAGGGAAACCCAACTAACCCTTCCCCCAAAAAAAGGAATAAGAGGATGGGCTCTAGTCCCCACCCAATGGAATTGCTCGCTGCTGAGCGAGGCGAGCGAAGCGCCTAGTCCTGCTTCTCCAGGGTTCTGCGCTGGTCCTGCTTCTCCGAAGCCCAGTCGTAGAATACCATTGGGTTCCCGTTAGAAACCAGAGGAAGACCATGGGAAAACCGTGGGAACACTATGGGAAAACCATAGGATAGCATGGGAAACCACGAGAAAACCATAGGGAAACATGGGAAAGCACAGGACCACCCAACGAAGCCATAGGAAACCATAGGAAACCAGAAGAAAGCCGCTGAACACCACAACACTAGAAACCGGAAACCGCTGGAATTGCTTTGTCACTGGTTCCTCTATATACTATGGTCACCTATGGTTGCTGTGTTTACCTGAAACGGGAAACCATGGGAATCCACCCCAAATTCTGCAGATTGGACTTCAGTTTCTGCAAATTCGCGTCAATTCCAACTCGAAGCCTCGGTTTCCTCATGGCCGTAGGCTTTTGACTTTGGCTTTCAGACTCAAATGATCAGATTGGAACTCCAAGTTGTTAGACTTGTGGGTCTTTCTTGTGTTCCCTGCCCGTAGTTGGGGATCTTTCGTTTGAAAGCAAAGTTTGGGGGTTGACCAAAAGGTCCTCTTGGGATGACCAAAAAGATGATACTGTGGACGAAATCCATTTTGCACCACCTAAGAAACCCTGGAATGATGATTCCCCTGTACATACCAACCAACAACAGTTTCCCATGGTTTCCCAGTGATGCAGGATGCCGTCCATCCACTGTATTGCTGGCTATGTGCTGTAGACACGTGCTAACTCAATAGGTTAGAGGCAAACGTGGTCTTCGGGAACCCTCAACTAGCAAACTCAAACACATGCGCTCACCACCTTTGGAAGGGCTGACGCATAGGTCCCCGTCTGACCCCTCCAAACCATAATCTTGACCCACATCACACATTTCGACTCTGCTTTCTGCTTTCTGCCAACAACCAATTTCTCCCTGGAGTAATGTCGAAGACTTCCCAAACCTTCCCAACCCCCTTCCCAACCGGTTCCCAACCCCCCCCCCCGCCAACCCCCCCCCCCTCCCAAACCCCCCAACCCGCCTCGCGGTCCCGGGCGTAGGCGAACCACACGCCGCCAGTGAGCACCAGCAGAACACCCAGCGCCGAGGAAGCAGACAGCGCCTAAGACCACTGACACGGAACCCGCCAGAAGGTCCATTTGGGTGCCTCTTGTTTTTTAGGGGACCCCCAAAATGAGTGCTTCCTTCTTGGTTTCCTGTTAAAACCACCCTTAAAAAAAGGGTGACCTCAAAAAAGACACCCGTTTTGAAGGAAGATCGTCTTCCACCCCTTCAGTCGGGTTCCATGCTAGGACAGGGTATATACAAGGAGCATTGACAATCATGAATAGTTCCCCAAGGCCATTCTGATGTTTTCGGACTAACCTGATGGTTCTCAGGGATCATCCCTGGCATTGAGAAAACTATGCCCGAACCCGGACGTTTGGTTTCGTCCTAAAAACAAAACGTGGAATCCAACCAGGCAGCATCTTCAGCATCACCAGCATACCCTTGAAATTGGGTGCAGCCTAGCATGCTTGTTCGCGTTTTGCAAATCAGACGTTTCCCCCAAAAAAGAAACCTCCAGCGACAAAGTCGCTTTCCGTCCAAAAGACTGAGGCGCTGGGCGGATCCACTTCAAAAGTTGACGAACAGGCAGCACCAAAACTCCAAGAAGGGAAATGGACGGCCATCCCGAAGACCTTTGGGTTTTGGGGCGCCCGGCAGAGCCCTGCACCCAGAAGCCCGCCACCAGCACGATGAGCAGCCGCCTGGAAGCCCGAATCTCGCGGCCATCCGGGCTGCGCGGGTTTCGACGTTTTGCGCGGAACATGGACCTCCAAGTGCCTGAACACGAAACCAGGCCTAACCCGCCCTAAACCAAGCCCAAACCAAGCTGACAGTCCCTGGGTGGACCCCACCCCAAAAAAATAAATTAATGGCGGCCGTGACAATGCACAGGAACTCTTGGTGCCCTTTTGGTTTCCCGAAACCACAAATGGGACCCGAAGAAAGTCCCCCGCTCCGGTGGATCATGGTCATGGTCTCCGGAACCTTTGTACTGGTTGTCCAAAACCCTAAGGTGATGACCATCCCTACCAGTTGGGCAAACTTGGGCATCACTTCGCCAGCCCCCCAATTTGTCCCTTTACTTTGCCTGTAAGGGCGATCAAGGTTTGCCTGGCCGCGACGAGCATCCCATTCCACCCATCAGACCGAGTAGGATCCGAATCCGAATCCCCAACTGGGTGTGGCTCAAAATTAAAGGAGCTCGGGTCACGCAGGTCTTGGTCTTGTTTCCACAAAACCATTTGGGCCATTCTTGGGACTCCATTGTCTGAGAAACAGCCATTGGCCGTAGAAGGGGGTTGGTTGGCGGCTGAAGTCGTGGCTGCCTTCGCCCGATCCCCATCGGACATGGGTAAAGCAAAGGGCTTTCTTGGTTGTAGAAATTGGGCGCTTCCAAATAATCCCAAGCCCAATCCGCGCTTGTCAAAACCAAGGGCCGGCTCGCGACTCGACGACTCGACGACCTCGAGGACTCGACTCGGCCTCAGGGTGTCGACCACCGCGAAGTTCAGCGGCCGGAAGCTGTTGAGGGCCGCGAAGGAGGCGCTCTGCTCCGTGAAGTAGAGGAACCCGTCCTCGGGCTCCAAACAACATCTTGGGAGCCGCGCAAAAAAAGAGCCGAAGAGAACCATTGATGGCGGAACTTGCACCTCTTGTGTGTGTGTGTGTGTGGTTGTGGGTGTCATCTTGTGTGCGTCATAGGGATTTGAACAAAGATGGCCTCAAGAACTTCTTGCCCCAACCGAAGTAAGAACTCTGATTCTGGGCCATATTTACAAAAACCGTGCAGTGCATGCCAAAACTTGTGCCTCGTATGGCGGGGATGTGCGATTCTTCTCATACCGAAGAAGTGTTGTCCACTGAGAGAGGCCACGACTCGATCTTTAAACCCTCGACTGGGCCTAACACTAGAGGATGGGTGACACGCCTTGCCTTGAGAACATCTAGCTCTGAGAACCTTCCAAGGTGCCAATGCCAAGTCCCAGGATTTCTTTGACCGTGAACCTGCGGTTGCATTCTGGAAAACGCGAAATGTGTCCTTTCTGCGCAGCGAAGTTCAAATAGCTCTAGGGGAACCCACGAAATGGGTGGCTTCTCTTTAAGGCTCCCCTTTTCAGCCAACAAAAAAGGTACCCTCCCAACAAACACCCACAGGAATTTCAGGTGGCGTCGTGGCGGCATGCTAGTAACACCGACCCAAGCCAGTCATAGTGTGGGTGGGCAAATTCCTGCAGCCAGCCGGTAGTTTATCCCAATATTTGCACGGTTTCATCCATCCCAACTGGTGCAAGAGTTTTGTCCACCTACAGTAGGTGCACCATTTTTCGCTTGGCGCCAAGGTTGTCCACTTTAAATGCCACAAGAAGATTCTCGCGGCATGAAGTGTTCAACGTGCCTGACCTGAGGCGCATGACAACATGCTTCAAAAAATGACCAAGAAGCAATACGCACCCTCCCAGCCCATTTCATAGTATAAATTCCCAGGCCCCGCCTACAACCTCATGTGAGACCACCAAGGTCCTGTTGCGGGGGTTGCAAACCATCCTCATTTCTGTACAAAAGCACCTTTAGGTATCACCAAACACAAAGAGGAAACTCAGTATTGGATCTGTCTTTGTTTGAGGGTACCCTTTTTGGGGTTGTTTGAAAGGGACACCAAAGGGAAACCGCGCATTTAAAATGCGGGTTCCCTCAAAAGATAGACCCATTTGGCCTTTCCTCCCGCTGAAAACCATGACCCAAAAAATGGGCAGGGACACCAGAAGAAACACACCAAATCTCTACCCTTGTAGCTGGCTAAAATCTGTTCTCCTGTTGCCGCCCTGATTTTTCAGGTGCGTGAGTGTGGTCCGCCTATTGTAGCGAGCCTTCAAATGTAAAACCATTTCAAGAGAAATCCCAGTGCAAAGTCAAATCACCCCCACCCAACCCCAGCCCAGCCCACCCACCCGCGCCCCCCTTAGCATGATGGACACTTGCAGTTTTTTGCAACCGCCTTTCTTAAACTCGACTCATCCGGGCACCAAACTCGCTGTCGGTGTCCTTTTGGAGAAAACCAGCAGAATCCAAGGCGAAACAGATCCGGTTTTTCAAAAAAAAAGAAAGAAAGCGATGGCTGCGTCCCTGGCAAATGCCCAATAAAAATCCCCTCAAAAGCCGGCGGCACCGGTCCCCCCCTCCATTTCTTCCCACAACGGCCACGCCAACACGCGCGCGCGTTTCGCCTCGCTCGCGGTTCCAAGGCGCCGCCAGGGACAGCACCAGGATCCGGTTCCGGAGCCTCCGGAGTTCGGACGGTGGGGGTGTTCGCTGGTGTCCCTAAGCCGAAGACGAAGCGGGCCCGCTGCCTTTGGACGGCCCCTTTAAAACCCCAAAGAAGTCGCACAATTTTTTGGACCCAGACCTCTTCAAGGCTCCATGTCGCTGAAAGAAATGAAGCGACCGTCCCCGTGGCGACCGTCCCCGTGTCACACACAACACGCAAAGAGTCCGCTTGCAGGACTCTAGAAAACCAGTGTGTCAAGTGCCAAGTTGGTATGGGCATTTGCTCAGGGCACGCAAGCCTCTGGCCAGCCGGGAGAGAGAATATCTATCTGGCCGTCGAATGCTGGGGTCGCAGGCTCATCCTGGAAAAGGCAGCAATCCATCAACAGCTGTGTCTCCTCCAAATGCAGAGCAATTTCAGCTGAACTCGCTCACCGAAGATCAGTTTGGAATGTGTCTGATGCACCAGACGATGCCAATGAGAAGAACAAGCAGACCAAAACGATTTTGGCTCATGGAACCCACAGACAGACTGTGTTTTGTGGGGCAATTGGGGCAATCGGCTCTCCCCCGCTTGCCCCTCCAAAAAAACAATGAATGTTGTCTAGCAATGAATGCTGTCGCCAATTCTGGCCATGTCTTCGCCGCCCATTCCCAGCCAATCCCTTCAAGCGCCGGGCTGATCATCCACCACAGACAAAAAGCCTCCAGCCGCGCAAGTTTCAGGCAACGCCTTCAATGCAGGAAACATGCGTAGAAGCGAACGGTCCATTTCAAAACGCACAAAATGCCAGTCAACAGGCCTCACATCGGCTGGGCATATCAATGTGTCAAAATCGGGGGCCATTAAAAACCTGGCTTCTTTGTGGTTTCACCTTAAAGCCTCAAAGCCACTATGTCTGTCCGTGGCCACGGTGCTCCTCATTTGGATTGTGCCTCCGACTGGACTCCACGTGCCCAAATGTGGGATCGATCTCAAATCCTCCGGGACCTCGCGGTCTCTTTTTTTCACGACCTGAAAACATTGAGACTGGGCGAACGAAACAAGGCCGCAAGGAACCCGCGGAAAACCAGAAGCGAAGACCGCGAAGGCCAAGGTCTGAATCAAGGTGTCAGAAGCCACCCGTCAGCCATCGATGCAACGAGTCAGGATCAACCTGAATGGCTGGTAAGTGCTTATATATACATTCGTGTACATATCCATACACGTGCGTCGTTGATTCTCGCTGAACATGACCCGCAACATGTCCTTCTAGACTGGCTACGATAAGGCAGAATAAGGCGGTTTACCCGATGTGGCAATTCGGATTTGTGGTTTGGCACGTACATGTAGAACCATCTGCCGACGAATGTCCGGATATCGACCCTACGCTTTTTCGGGTAGATCACTCATGTGGCCTTCAAAATACATCTGGAAATGCGTATTTTGCCAGAACGGCACGTGTGTGTGTGTATCAGTGTAGTGTATGTATGGGGTGTGTATGTATTGGTTTGGGCATAGCCGACCTGGGCTTTCGATTGTTTTCCGGGTTTGGTGGCATTGATGTGTACATATATATATATATATGTGCGTGCATCCGTGTCTTTCTCTTTATCTTGCTTTTGTGGGGGCGGGGTTTGGGGGGGGCGCCCGGCGTCCGGCGTCCGGGTCTTGGGCTGTGCCGAGGTCCCGGCCCAGCAGCCGGCTGGCACCTCCACCCATCAGCCTCAACTGACAGGAAAAAAGTGGATTCGTAGGACCGGAAAGGAGCATTGTACTTAATTAAGTGGTCGGTAAGCCCGGTTTGACCCACTTACCATGGTTGTAAGTTATAAGTCTTCTGAGTGGGTAACCAGGCGTACGACCCACTTACTATGTCAAGCCTCTTTGAGTATGCATTCAGCTTTCCTTCTGCAAAACATTCATCGCAGCCGCGAGTAAATCGAGGAAACACCTGCATTTTGTAGGGTCCACTTGCAGCAAAAACGCGCCAGCACCTTGACAGCCGTGCCAAACACCCCCATCCATGTGAGCCGATCCAAATATGCATTTCGAGTGAGTCCCCCCTATGTGATCTGTCCAGCTTGTCAGAAAGGCACCCAAAAGGTATCTAAGGCTCTCCGCGACCCCACTGTTGCATGCCCAACCCAAAAAGGGAAGCCTCAAAAGACGAGCTGAGGCTGTGTCTCCCCAACCTGCGCTTTGGGTCTTTTCGGCTTCCCTACCATTCCCGGCCAAAAAAAACGAACACCACAATTTCCTCGTCGCCTCAACCAACGAACCGAGCTGATGTACGGCGCCTCAACCAACCCATACGCGCTGAGTGAGTTCTGGCTCCCCGGCCAAATGGGCACCAGGATGCAGAGCGCGAAGAAGCAGCTGTTGAACTGCACCTCAAACCTCGCGGCTCGCGGAAGCCCCCAGCCGGCTTGCTTAAGGCTACATTTCAAGTATGGCAGACTCAGCAGTTCTGAGCAACACTAGAGCAATAGATACTTAAGCCATGCGCTACACCAATTCTGGCTTGACCCTAACTCAAAACTGCGCAAACCCGCAGCAGTACATCAATACCAAGCATTGCTTTACGCAAAATCAACACTTAACCACCACTCAACCGCTATACCAACACACCACAAAACCAACACACCACAAAACCAACACACCACAAAGCCAACACACCAACTATTTGTTTTGGAAAAAGGGAGCATGGGCCGGCTCAAGGGCAGTTCGGAGCGACTTTTGTTGGATGATATTCCTCGATGGAGCTCCAAATGCTCAGCTTGTTGGTGTTTGTGCGTTTGATCTCCTGCCAAAGCCTGGTCAAACTGCCTTTCCCAAACTTCTCAAACCTGAAAGCACTCTCACGGGAAGTGCTTTTGTTGAAAAAGAAAAAGAGGGTGAAAACAAACAACTCAAGTCCCGAACCTGCAAAAGGACCCTCTGAAAACAAGCAGAACCCTCATGGGCGAGCTGGGTTCACGCCCGCCCGGTGAGGTCGCTAGCATTCGGAACCATCCTCCGGGCCCGGCCCAACCCTCCAGTGACCTGCGATAACTTCGGCCAGACAACGTCTGCCCTTTTTGCTTGCGAACATGGTCCAAACCCAAAAAGTGGAGATAAAGTCCATAAACTCCAGGAAGTGGGCCATTTCTTTTTACGTTTTCTGGCAGCAGAAGTCGTGAAACGACATCTCCAGCGCCCTGGTCCCACACCGAAGCCAAGGCCCCCGGCGCATGCAGCGCACGGCCCGAGCCTTCCTCGGAGCGTTGGCCAGGCGACTCGCGCGCAGCGGTGGACATCTTCCGGCCATCTGAAAGGCCAGCCGTGGCTCCCATAGGTGGCCTCTTGGAAAAATGGCTGGGTTTCCCTGGTAAATGGGGCATAACCCCCATCTAAACCAGGGATCGCCCTCTATTTTTTGAGACCAACCAAAAAGGACACCTATGGTTGCTCCACGAGTCAACAAGAACGCCTGTGGAAAACTTCTTCGACCTCAGTTCTTGAGAGGAAGCAGGTCTCTGGGGCTGTCCACAGGCAAACCGTTGGTCCGCGAAAAATCCGAAATTATGTGCGGAAAACATCTTTGACCTCGACATCCCCTTGTTTGTCCACGGATCTTCAAACCTACGGACACCTGTGTGACTTTAGTTTGGTGAAACTGGGAGGCCAAGCAAGCAGTTCTCTGGGGCTGTCCCTTTGGATGGCGCCCAATCTGGTTGTTAGGGAAGCCAAGAGGAAGACTGTTGAACCCCACACGAAGACTGGTCCCAAAAGGGTGATGACCCTTGATCATCCGACTATAACTTGTGCGACTTCCTTGGAAGTGGTAGTAGAAACCTCGCCAAACTTGCGTGTGTGTGTGTGGTGTTTCATACTGCGTGCTTTCTCATTTAAAACCGCCTCCCAAAAGCAATTCCTGGTTTTGACACATGTTGCCTCGAAAACTGACAGCCTCATCCCATGAAGAACTAGCGCCTGAATCCCAAGCGGTCCTCAAGGCACGGTCTCGGAAACAAACCAGTCATGCACTCAACAAGCCATCTTTTTCCCTTAACTCTTGACTTCCTAGAATTGAGCCCCCATTTCCCGTTCCCCATGTCAATGTGTCCATCAACCCCAAACCCTAAACCCTAAAACCCAAGACCTGTTGGGGCATTTCTTGGCATCTAGGAGGAACCTCATTTGGGGGTTCTGAGCAAAAAAGAAAGGGGACCCCCCCAAAAAAAGAAAGAGAAGGCAATCCTCGCAAAAAGAAGAACACAAGGACAAAAAGAACAACAAGAAGATAACCCGCCCCAAAACAAAACAATCCCCCCCAAAAAAGTATATAACCCTCGGGAAGAAAAAAAGAGAGAAAAAGAGAGGACACCCGCCCAAGAAAAAAGAGGACACCCGCCCCAAGAAGATTTGGCCCTTGCGCCGAAAAATGGGTCTCTCGCCTCTTGCTCTCGCCTCCTCCGGGGCCCCGGGCCCGGCTGCGCGCCATGCAGCGCTGGCCCAGGAGGTTCACGCACACCTCGGGCGATCCCCGCGGGCGGACTCCGCGGGCGGACTCCGCGGATCCTCCCGCAGGACTCCCGCGGATCCCGTCGGGCAAGACGAGGCGTCTTTTGAAACACGGGGAGAATCTGAAGATGATGGGAAGTGTCATGTCCGGTGTTTGAAGAGTACCCTCAAGAGACATGACTGGAAACTTCGGGAGGTTTCATCTTTCAAACGACTGGATGTCAAGCCAATGAGCCATGTGGCTGGGGTGGCGTTGCCCTGTGCTCTGAACCCAGCGGTTGGTTGTTTCCTTTTTTTCTATGAATCGAGAAAAAGAACTACCTAGAGTCTCCATGACCCCTCGAAGCAAAAAACAAAAACTTAATTTGGGGTAATGACCCCATTTTCAAAGGGTCATGGAGACTCCAGGTACCAGCCCTCATCTTGTCCCTTTCAAACCTGGAGCACCCCCGGAATTGGCCGCGGCCTTTGGGGGCTCGCTTCCTATACGGCGAGGCCTCGGCTCCAGAATGCCGCATGAACGAAACATAGAAGCTTGAAGCCGGCCAACAAATACGTGGGTCCTCGAACAGGAGACCTGGGGTCGATAAAGCTCTGCTTCAAATGAAACAAAGCGTAAGGCGTCTGTCCAAGAAATCAACTACAGGAACTCTGCAAGATAAATTGTGGCACATTGCCATTTGGAAGGGCCCCGCACGCTGACATGGACTGAACTCGCCTGCGCGTTCACAGAGAGGACCGCCGCCAGGATGCCCTGCGATAGTTTTCCAGGCACCGGTTAATGTCGACCCCGCATAAATCAACCTGGTGGGTTAATAAAGGCGATCGTTCCCCCGGAAGTGAAGGTTTGCCTCTAAACTGGGACACGGTCCTTATTCATCCACCGGTGTATTCAGCCTGGGTCAAAGTACCCTCTGATTGGCAAGAAGGTTTGCGGGGACGCCGCCAGGAAACCTGCTGCCACGAGACTGGGAACCTCCAGCCATTTCCATCATCCACTTTGCAAACAGGTGGCTCTCCTGCCTTGTGTGAGCCGGGCTTGTTGACCCGCGAAACAAACATCCGGCGAGGGGCCTAGATGGAAGAGAGACCTGCATGGGTTAAGAGGTGAGACCGGCCGTTGCCCTGCGTTCCTTCGATCAAATCGCGTGGACTGAGCTGGAACTTCATCCCATGCTTCAGTGAGTGACTTCTCCGCACGCCCAACCACCCAACCCACGTGAGGCTCGGGAATTTGCGGGAAGGAGGAGCGCGGAGTGTTTCCAAGTTGCTTTCCGTTCAAGCACCATCCAACAAAGATTCCCCTGCTTTACGACACTCCCAAATGGAAAACTTGGAACAAATGAGCGAACCCTCGCAGGCGCGGCCCCTCTTCTCAGAAAGGCGGTTGTGAGGAATTTCAAGGGTACCCTTTCTGGTGGTTGAAAGGGACACCTAAGGGAACACCGCAATCCATGCTTGGGGTACACCACGCACCACAAGAATCCTCCTTGGTAGGCGAAGGGTCGGACCAGATTCCCCCAACAAACAGGACCCGGTTTGTCGCGCTGGAGATTAAAACATTTCAAAAGCAGCATGATTCAAACAACCTGCTTCCGCCTCAAAACAAGTTCTATCAACACCACAATAAGTCCTACCCAAGCACGACAACCAAACGCAAAAAACCGCCTCTTCTTTCGGGTCCCTCAAACGCCCAAAATGGAAAACTACCCAAATAATTATCCTCCCCCAAGCTAAATGGAAGTCTCCCGGGACCCCTTTAAAAGCTTTGAACAAAAGACTTGGTTGCATTTACACTGGCCTTCTGGGAGCTTCCATGTTTGAGGGAGTGTATTTTTGGTTGGTTTAAAAAAATAGTTATAAAAAAAATAAAAATCAATGCGGTTCTTCATTTTGGGAAGAGCAAAGCCACTCAAAAGCTCACTTGGGGGGGTTAACTCACCTATGACTCAAAACCCCCTCAAAACCCAGGACTCCTTGGTTCCATTCACAGAGGCCTTCTGGGAGTTTCCATGTTTGAAGGAGTGTAACCATCTTGGCTTCCCTCAAACCCCTCAACACCCCCTCAAAACCCAGAGTCGGGAGCGTAACCTTCAGTTTGCTTCCCTCAAAACCCCCTCAGAACCCTCTCAAAACCCACTCAATGGGGGCAAACTCACCTATGACTCAAACCCCCCGAGTAAGTCACCTCTCTCTGCCGGAGCTTCGGCCTGCGGCTCAAAGCCGCTGGGCTCGGCGCCCACCGCCAGCGCGAAGCCTCCGAGTCGCTCGCGCTTCGCGCGAACCGGTTTTCGGGTTTTCGGGGAACCGAAACGGACAAAAACCCGGGCCGTGCCTTCGCCTAGGCGAAGTTGTACCTCTTGTTTTTGGGGGGGACGGAGGGGGGGGTTCACGGCCTCCTTTTTTGGGGGGGGGGGGGGGTTCACTGGGAGGCCAAGGGGAATTTGTATCCTTCCTGGGGGGGTTGAAAGGGAAGCCAAGGGGAAACCACTCATGAAATTATGGGCCAAAGGAAATCAACTAAACCGAATGGGGCACAAAGCGTCGCCGAGCCATTGCCTGGCAAAATTGAGGTACCCCTTGGTTCGTGGTTTGGATTGGTGGCTTTTTGGAGTTAAACACGTAAAGGCGATGACTAAACCAAAACTGGCAATTGGGCCGACGTATAGATGAGCCTCCGCTTCGGCGATTTGGCTTGGTGGTTTGGAGCTCATATCTAAGATGCTACCCCCAAACCACTAGCCATGGGCATAGTGGGATATATTGCCACCAAAATGGACACTATGTAAAGGGCAGCTTGCTGCCAGTACAAAACACAAACTGGATATGAGGCATATCCCAAGGGATCAGTTTTACCCGGTGATGAGCTCGTGGGAATTTGCGCAGAAAAAATACCCTCACTGTACAGAATTTAGCCTGGACCAGAGATTCAGGCGTGCTATTTTCCAATGCACGACGTCGATTCAGCTTGCAACTGCCAGATATATAATCGGCGTTTGGAACCTGGCCAAAAAGAGCCCGAGCGATGTCTTCAAGGTGTGCCCAACCTCTAATCCAAATGGGGGGACTTGGAAACAACTGGGGAAGCCACCCTTGGCTTGTGACCCTCATTAAAGCTATGTCTCTTCAAACTGAGTGAACTCCTCCAAAACCGATTCATCGAGAGTGCCGGCAGCCCCAAAAAACAGAAACCAACGGGTGCAATTCAAGGGCCCAAAAAAGCATGCATTGCGGCAGGTGTGGGGGGACCCACCGGTGTTTTTCCCCCCAGCCGCATCCATTTGTAAAACAAAAGCGCCCAAGCCAAAGCCAAAAGTTGGTTCTTTACCCTCTCTAAAAGAAAGTTGGCGGACAGTCCTCTTGAACAGGCCCCCTGTCCACTTCTGCTGTAAAACGGACAAGCAACAAAAATTGCCGGCTCTTTGCTGGTTCGGGTTGTCTGCCTCCTTTTGCCGAAAATCTGGAAAACAACTCTGTGTTTTTTGACATCCTTTTTGCGAAAACGTGGAAAAGCCCCACCTCTTTCCTGCCCCCCCCCCCCCCATTTCATGGCCTCCCACCAGTGGAAGCAGGCTGCACAGCACCAGCAGCCCATAGCGAGCGCCCAGCGCAAAGGTCAACAGCACCACCCATACCTGCGGTCTGCAGACTTCACATGGATCTGTCCCACAGAAACTATCCTTCAACCATGTTTTAAGGTCGGTTTTGTGTGGCTATATGGGTAACTGCGCGCATCTTCGTGAGGACGATCTGTTCTGCCACTAAAGCAGCTTGGTAAATATCATCCAGAAACGGCCCGACCAGATGTTCGGAGTGGGTCTTTTGCTGGAACCCGAAAGCTCTGATCGTTTGCAGGCGAAATGGAAATCCAGCTTACAAAGACATCATCAAAGACTCACAGAGGCTGAGGATCCACCTCTTTGACCAGTCATGGTTTGTGTCGCTCACCGGCCACGAATACATTCCTGAGTGTTTCGCCAACGGCCCACGATCGAATCAAAGTATGGACTATGCAGTTATGCATCGCAAATTTTGTGAACATACAGTAATATCTACGTTTCCAAATCTAAATTGCTGAAAGTATCCCTTACAACTTATAATCTCAAAGGAAACCAACATGTACTTCACATCAAAGTTGCTTCAGAAACCAGAGACCAAAGTTGCATATAACCCCCCCCTCCCCCAAAAAAAAAAAGAAGAAGAAAAGACAAGACAATATGAAAAACACTACACACACACGAAGAAGAAAAAAAAAACTACAAACCATTCGCTCCAAGCTGAGACATACTCAGACCACCGCTTTCAGCGGCGTCAGATGCTCCGAGGCGCTGGGTTGGTGGCCCGGATGGTCTGGGCCAGGGAGGTGGGGATGAACTGCAAGCTGTAGACGAAGCTCCTGGAGCTGTGGCTCTGATAGGACCCCCCAAAATGGCCAACTCTTTCTTTGGATTCGAACCTTTTCGTTTGCCGAATCCCTGGAAAAGGGTTCCCCGAAAACACACACACACACACACGCACACACACACAAGACGAATGTTCCGTCCACGAAGCTGCTGGGCTTGCCCCAGACGAAATGTGTAAAAGGGAGAGACGCGTGCGCTTTATCTCTTTGTAGGGGATGTTGGATATGGGTCTGCGAAAATAACCACCTCACAAAGGGGGGGTTTGCGACGTTACCACTGATACAGGTTCCTGTCATAGGGAACCCTTACCTTGGGTTGGTGAGTTCGTATACTTTACTTTACTTTACTCAGATTGATCAATTGGAAAGTGTCCCCAGTGCGCTGATAGCCACTGGCCTCATTCTTGTACCATCATCAAAGTGCCCCTCAAGAGGTAGAGTAGATTTAAGGGAAATACCCACAGCAGCTGACGTTGATAACCCCTAGCAACACTCAAAAAAATCGACCCCAGAACCATGGCATGAACTCCTCTCCTCCGACCACCAAAAGCAAAACAACCCCGCGGTGCGCGGATGTCCGCAGGACATCGACGGCCCCCCCACGTCAACCAAAGAAGGGCCCAAGGCATCGAATGCCTGGCGTCACCTCATTTGGGCTGTGTTTTCTTCGGGCACCTTTTGTTTGGCTGGGTTAGAGGGAAACTCAAGGGTAAAACTGGGCCTCCCACTTCCAGACACAGGGCCATGTCCAAAGCCATGAAAATTCGCAGAACTCAGAGCCGCTAGCCACATCCAAGGAAGGCGGTAGTTTCGATCAAGTGGAACCCCACAAACAGAGTTCACCATGGAAATCGAACCAAGGAACCCCATGGAACCCCAAACCACCAAGGAAATCGAACTGAACTTGTCCCCACGCAGAATAAGTCGAATACCAGAATCGGTATGCAATGCTTCCCAGCAAGACCAACGACTGCTCGCACCCTTTTTGGTCGTGTCAACCCAGGAACGTTTAAAAAACAAAAAAATGGCTTCGCATTGGTTCCGATCTCAGGCCCCTTGCCAGAATGTGCAACTTGCTATCCATGTGGTCACGGCGGCTTGTGCCTATTGCATTCATCATTCTCCCGCGCCTGCAATTGAAGAGGTGCAGCAGGCCCAAGGAAAAGGAGCTCTTCAGCGGAAATTCATCTGGGCAGTCTGATCAAAGTCGCAGCTGTTGGCTGACATGAAAGGGGCTTGGTGGCTTCACAGCGGGGCACAAGGAAAGCTACCCATGTCAGACCTCCGCCCTCAAATAGTCCTACTCCAAACAAGTTTCCAATGCTTGCCTCAGTTGCATGTCCAAGACTAAGGCCTCTTGTGCCACCAGTCCAAACATGTCCAAACAGTGGCAAAGCTGCCTGAAGCTTGGTAGTTGATCTCAGTCGCATGTCCAAGAGGGCCTCTTGCCCAACCAGTCCAAACAGTGGCAAAGCCGGCTGAAGCTTGGTAGTTGCTCTCGGTCCCAAGGATTGAACATCAACCCTCCCAACCGCGTCCCGAGACCCAGATTCGCACCATGCAGCTTTTGTGACTCTCTCCCCCACGTCCGATCCACGGAAACCGAAGAACCCACGGGACTTGCACCACACTTGCACCATGGCACAGATTTGGCCAGCTGATTGTTCGTCCGGCGGAGTCGACGAATCTGGGCCAACAAGAAACAAACCTGAAATCACGAATCCAAGGGACCTTCATGTGTGACCTGGATTTATTCAGGTGAGCCACAGGCTCGTCTTACCGCTCCAAGTTTACGACCGCGCCTTCCTTTGCAAGCAGCCGGTGCCCCCGGGGCGGCAGCGTCAGCGCGCCTCGCATGTGAAGGTCGCGGCTGGTAGGTGGCACTGGTAAATAGTCAGAACCAGAGACCGGCGAAGCATGAATGCTCAACTCAGTTTGACCAAAAAGGACAGCAACGGCCATGGCACCAACCAAAGGTGTCTCTAAGACAAGTTGAAACGTACTGATGGACACCAAATCAAACGGTCAATTCCCTGCAAACAAAAAGAGATGCAAAGCAGATTGAATAAGTTGCACTGGCGCAAGCTCGTCATGAGCCCAAACTTTGAGCAGTAATTATAGAAATGACACCGGCCTCCTTTGCATGATACTAAGTACGAGAAGGATGTGTACATTTACAGAGTATACCATGATCTGGACCGGGTTGCAGTCCTAGGTAGGGTTCCTTTCAGTGACAAATGATTAGAACCCGCAAACTGAAACCTGTGAACTCAACCAAAGTGACCTATGTATGAATGGGCATGGGGCGAGTGTGTTCGTTTCCGTAGCTGAGACGGACATTCTCAAAGTCGCCTACTAAATGGTAAAGGGAAACGACCCTCCCCAACAGTAACTTTGAAACCAACGCGATATCGAATCCAACGCTTCGTCCAACGCTGGTCGATTGCGGTGGAGAAGGTTCGCTTGAGAATAGAGGGGCATTAATTGCAATTAGGAAGCCCTAGGTGGACATCAACTTAGGTTGGAATTCATGTCCACCAACCACTTAAGTTGGGGGCTTCCCTATTAACATGAATGGCCTGAAAGACTTTCTGGAGACCTGTTTTGTGTCTCCAGTGCATGCTTCTTTGTGCAAAATCGATTCACCTAACTGGGGACAAATTGGGGCCCAGCGTTGACACGTGGTTTCCCCGGAGCCGTGGTAGGAGTCGGCTTGCCGAGAACATCCCCAGCGTCACCAGTATGGCCAAGCGAGTTTGCGGGGTGCTACCGTCACCGAGTTGCAGAGTCTTCCTATGTGAGTTGTGTGCAATACCCGCTTGAGATTGGCATTGGATTGTTTAACAAACACCATGCATTGGGTATGTTGTTGTTTTTTTTACAAGAGCCCAACCCAATGCATGGTGATTTAAAAACTGAACACAACATTAAAACATATATGCATGGTACACAAATGTCCAGGGGATACTTCATCATGAAGTCGCATTGGCTCCCGTCAGCCAAAGTGAACACAACTCTTTGCGCTCTATGTGAGACATGTCGTGTTGAGGTTGCTGGCGCTGGATCCTTGGGGCCGAAACGTTTCGGCGTTCAGGCGTTTTTGAGGGTCCCCTTTTTCGGGGTGTAGGGAAACCACAAGGTAAACCGGGCTAGCCATTTTGTATCCCCAGCAACTCACAAGCCGCCCACGTGCCTTTCAAAGGGATGCCGAACCCGTTTCAAAAGCTAGTTGGCCAACGAGCCGGCCTACCAGCACCGTGACCATAAGCTCAATGATGGTCATGTCCTGCAGCTTCACCAAGTGGGTGTGTCTTTTAGGGGCCCAAATTTCGGTGTTCCTTTAAAAGCTGCCAAAAGGGGTACCCTCCAAAAAAGACAGACCCAAATCAGGGAGCCAATTGGTGAGCTAAAAGGTGTGATTCAAAACGGGCGAAGGAACAAGGCATATTTGGGGAGAAAATGACGGCAACCAACTCATCACTCATTGTTTAATTCGCGGTTGTACGCGAAGCTCGGAAACCCAACAACTGTCCACTGCCGCCGGCCGCCGGAAAAGACGGCACGGATGCTCCGAACTATGCACGGAACAATAAAACGGAACCGGCCCAACAAACACCTTTCTCAGGATGTGTTTTTTAAAGTGTCATTCTGGAGAGCCTCTTGTTGCGGTTCCTTCTGTTCATTTCATGTGAGCAACAGTGGTACCAGGGCAACGCATTTTGGTGGTACCCGATGGTTGACCCAGAAGATGTGGCAGTGCCTTCAGGCGACAAATCGCTGCTCCGTGGCAACCAGTGGTCCAGCTGTTGGTTTGGATCGGCGGTTGGGTGGTTTGGAGGGATTTCCCATGTACCCGCTACAAAACCACCAATCCAAGGGTTACCTGAACCAGGGTCCTGGAAGACCCGGAAAACATTGGGCATTTGGGTTCCATGTTAAGCTGCGGGCGATTCGGGCATGTGTCACAAAATGGGGGGGGGGGGAGGGATTTCCTCGTTTTTTTTGCTTTAAGCCAACCCCATGAAAGGGTATCCTCAGAACCTCAAAAGAAGACCTGCCGAGGTGAAGAGCCTCCTTACGCCAAGGACATCGAGTCATGTCCGCATTTCCGCCTCCGCGCTGGGCAGGTTGCGGAGAAGCATCTGCGCGGTGACGTTGAAGACAATGCTGGAGGAGAACCTAAGAAACACTCCCCAAATCAACATGGAACCATAGGTGGCCTTTTTGAAAAATAGATGGCCCTGGTAAATGAAACAAAACACATCTAAACCAGGGCCCTCTATTTCTATCCAGGCTCACCTAAAAAGGACACCTATGCATGGAACCACCTCTTTTACCATTTTTGTTTGGACTAGTTAAAGCACCATGGTTCCAGGAATCTGCAACTTGGGGACCCCCTTTCTGGGTTCCATCGAGATCTGAGGGGTACTCGCGGATGGTGCGAAAAGGAGCCGTGTTGAACACAGGTGCCTTTTGATACATGGAGTTTCGCAGCACCAGGCTCTGTGTTGAAACTGACAGAGCTCTGGTTCAAGCCACTCAAACATCAAATAGGGGCGTATGCACAACAATGTACAAATAAAGCTTGTTCTTATCGAGTCTGGATCTGTACATACATATGTATATATGTACATACTCATAATATGTGTACATATATATATATATATATGGATATATAATCTATGTATGCATGTGTATATATATATGCTACCCCCCCCCGGGTACCCAGGTTTGGGCTTGGTTCAGATGTGCTTTGACCAGGAAGAATAGCTCAGATTTGCACACTCGGAGACCAGAGGAAGGAGGTTTGCCTCATTGAAGAAAGACGCCGTGGACGTGACCAATGCCCTTTTTCAATGGCCCTTCCACACAAAGACTCTTCCACAGAAAATTCACACATCCTCTCACCCAACACATGTTTTTTACATGTCTTCTTTCAATGAAACAAAGGCAGCATATGTGAAAGAGTTGCCAAGGAAAGGGATCCCTGTGTAGAATAAAGCCAGGCTATGGCTGGGACAGTTTGTGTTGCATACATGGTGGTTTTACATGATATGTACTGTCTTTTGCTGTACTTTTATGAATCACTGTAACCCTGACTCTTCCACAAAGACCCACATATCATCTCGCACAAAAACATGTCTTTTTCAATAACTCTTCTCTACAGAAAACTCACATATTCTCTCACCCAGAACATGTCTTCTTTCACAAAGGTTCACATATCCTCTCACCAAAACATGCCATTTTTCAATGGCTCTTCCACAGCAAATTCACATATCTTCCCACACAAACCATGCCTTCTTTCAAAGGCCCTTCCACAGAATATTCACACATCATCTCACACAAAGCATGTCTTTTCAATAACTCTTCTCTACAGAAAATTCATTCATCCTCTCACCCAAAACATGTCTTTTTGCATGCCTTCTTTCACAAGGAAGCACATATCCTCTCACCAACCGGGACGGATATCAAAAAAAACTTTTTTAACAATCAAAAAGAAACTTTTTTTAGCAATCAAAAAAAACTTTTTTAGCCATCAAGAACAAACTTAATGCACTCAGGGCTGCATTTACTGAGAAACGTGTGTATCAAAAGGAACACGCAGTGCACGCGCACGGACACGGTCTCATCACACGTGTTGTAGCTGCGGGGTTACTCTTTTGCGATGGTCTGGGCGAGTAGCGGGGGGGTTGGGGGGGAGGGGTGGCAGCCCCCCACCATGATGATCAAGAAAATAATGTTTCAACTGGGGCAAAAAAACCGAGAAGTAGCGGGGGGGTTGGGGGGCCCCATGGTGATCGAACAAGTGATGATTCAATTAGGGGTAAACAATTTAAAAAGTAGCGGGGGGGTTGGGGGGGGCGGCAGCCCCCCCATGATGATCGAAAAACTGATGATTCAACTAGGGGCAAGAAATCTAAATAACCAGCGAGGAGGCAAAAAATCTAAAACTGCCCCTTAGATTTTTTGCCCCTAATTGAATCATTCGATCGTGATGCGGCAGCCCCCCGCCCAACTTCCCCCGCACTTATCGATTTTTTGCCCCTTTTTGAATCATCACTTTCTGGATCAGTAGCGGGGGGGTTGGGGGGGGCGGCAGCGCCCCCCCATGATGATCGAAAAACTGATGATTCAATTAGGGGCAAGAAATCTAAAAACCAGCGAGGGGGCGTACAATCTACAATCTAAAAAGTAGCGGGGGGGTTGGGGGGGGCGGCAGCCCCCCCGCGATGATCGACAAAGTGAGCATTCAAATTGTGGCCAAACATCTAAAAATAGCGGGGGGGTTGGGGGGGCTCCCCCATGATGATCCAGAAAGTGATGATTCAATTAGGGGCAAAACATCTTGAAGTGGCGGGGAAGTTGGGGGGGGGCCTACCGCATGACCACAAATGTAAAAGTAGAGGGGGGGTTTGGGGGGGGGGGGTGGCAGCTCGATGATCAAGAAAATAATGATTCAACTGGGGCAAAAGATCTGAGAAGTAGCGGGGGGCGTGGCAGGGAAGATTACGTACAATGTGCCGCCGCGCGCCTTCAAGAGCAGAACGGCTCATTGTTGCACATGGACTCTTTTGGTGCAATCCCAAGAGTAGAAAGGAATGTCTTGGCATGCCCCACCCTGAAAGAACCAGCTAGTTTGTAGTAATAGAAAAAAAGGGTGAGGGGTGATGAAGACCAGATGAACATCCTCTCTTTGGTTGTGAGAGAGTGTGATAAAAGCACACGGTATACCTTCGTGAAGTAGTATTAATAGAAACAAATAATGATGTCCTCCTATCTATCACTTCCATATTTTTTCTAAATTAAACGTTTGCTAGCTCACCAAGATAGAGCATGGAAATGGAAAGAGGAAAATGTTAACCAAATGATTAAAGCCACAGTAACAGATAACAGAGTTAGAGAAGATCGAATGTCAGTGAGGAAGAAGTAAATAGTAAACAAATGCTGGTCAAACAAACATAAAAGGAAAGAACAATCAGAGAGATATAAAAAAAGGGTCTGGAGACGTAGCCTGTCCGTGAGACGTCACTTAAGCAATAATAACAGTTAAGCGTCTCTTCATTCATCACTCTATTTGGACAGGCAATATTCTGATGAGAAAACTATTAACTTCCTTCGGTCACTTCTAGCGATGAACATGATTTTATTGATGAAGATTGATTCAGTAGGATTTGACAAGTATTAGCTTGGGAGGCAAAAGGAAACCCCTTAAAAGAGAAGGTGAGAAATAAACCCCAATCGATACAAATTAGTTAACATTACTCATGAGATTCTAGTAAATAAATAGCCTTTTGTAAATAGTGTTCCGTCCTTCTCCAGCAACTTTGAACTATTAATATCCTTTTCATTCTCACCTAAAACTCAAGAATATTGCACATATCTAAGGATAAAATAGGAAGTGAGTGAGAGATGTTGCAAGGAAATTCTACTAGAACAAAAGCAGAAAGAAGATACAAATAAATAAGCTCCATGAGTAAAGACCAACAGCCTCTTCAGAGTCAAGCAAACTATCTATGGTTATAATTTGTTTTTATTCTTCATCATGCACTAATATCTTCTCCAATATATTTGTGTAAATGGGATGAAGTGGTCACGGGGTGAATTTAAAGGCAATAATTACAGAATCTTTGTAATCGCATAGCTTACTGCGTTTTATTATCTTATTGCGTTTTCTATCCTATCCACCATTGTCCACTCTAGGTTTTCACTGTGTTGGAGAGGGTTCTTGATGGACAAGAATAATTTGTCTCCCAATAAACCGTTTCATTTATTAACATTCTTTATTACTTTCATGTTCTTGGTTCTGTCATTTGCCTATTGATTTATTTCTTTATGTATCTATTATGTTTCTTCATAGGCCTTTTTCGTAATTCTTACTAATCCTGATAGCCGCGAAAGACGGGAGAGCAGAAGGAGTGTTAGCCAGTTCCTCTTCTTCATATTTGTTATTACCCCCCGGTTTTCCCCCCATCCAGATGCCTCCAACGTTTACAACGCGAGAGAGAGAAAGAGAGATTGGGAAGATAGATAAACAAGTAGAAAGGTTGCAAAGTGAACAAGTACATGAGAATGCAACCAGCAGATGAGAGACTATGAACCTATTCTTGGTAATGATTAACGGTCTGTTCCAACCATCGTGATTTTCTTTACATCGCCAATTTGTTCAACCTCACACCCAGAAGCATTTCTATACTTCTCAGATAATATTGTAAATGGAAGACAACAAAGATAGACATTCAAGCAATAAATGGGATGGTAAACCGAAAGGCAATGATCTTAATAACGACATGTCCATCCACAAATGTTTCCTGGATGAAGTGGAAGAGATAGAAAGGGAAGGATACAAGCTCTTGGGACCACAAACCAACCTCTCTTCCTCCGTGACTTGGACAAGGAAAGGACGTCAACGATGAGAAGAACCCAGTCCTTACACCATCCTATGATCTAAAACTCTATTATTGTCCTTTCATTTCCAGAAGATTATTAGCAAAAGAGAGAGACCGCTAGCATTTGCTTTTAAAAAGGTTTTAAGGATTCTGTAGTCAAATCTTTATGGGTTGAAGATGTTGGTGGGTGACATACATGGGAAAATCAGGATGCGATCGGAGGAAAAGAAAGAATCACGTTACTTCTGTTCACCCTCTCCTATCTTCTCTTCTTCTTCTTCTTCCCAAGCACCACACGGCATAAGATTAACAGCAGCCTATGCTTGAGGAAGAAGTCAAGAGAGGCTTCTCACTTCCCATTTTCAATCTTCAATTTCATCAAAAGGAAAGAAAGAAGTGATAGAAAGACATGGTAAGTGCCCATCCAATTCGTTATCTTCAATTAGTATTGATGGGCGCTTACCTCCTTGCCAGACGCTTTACTTCTTCATTTCCAAAACACGGCAATGTAAAAGACAAGGCAAGGAAAATGACAAGCGTTGGCTGGGCCGGGAAAGGAAAGGTCATCTTCTTCCATCTGTGTTCTTACAGAAAGAAGCGGGTTGTGGAAAGTGGCTTTCTTTTTCTACAAAAAAACAAAAATAAAGCCAATATCCCCTTCCTTCGTCCCATCGTGAGTCTTTCGTAGTGACAGAACTCCAGAACGTAGTGGGGAAGGGAAAGGTAAAGATGGAACGGTTGATCTCCTTCCTATCTTCTCCCCACTAGCGATACAGTTGGAGAAGAAGGAAC